AGTTGATAATTATTGTGATTATTAGTCATTTTAGGTCATTTTCAAATAATATATGTTACCCTTTCCGGCCAATTTTATGAGGCACAATAAAATTCTAAGAGTCAACAAATTTTTTATTAGCAAATAAAGATTGACATTCACAAGAATGATATTTGAAGAATTGACAATTGGAGGTAATAATTGAAGTGGACCCCAAATAAACTTTTAATTGTCATATTACGTTTTTTGAAAGTCAATTTAACTAATTTTTTAGGTTATATTAGATTACAATAATTCGATATTTTAAACAAAAAATTTAGATATTCAAAAACTACACGAAAAGTACTATAAATTGCAATTTTTTATATATCAATATGATAAAAAAAAATATCGTAAATTGTTAGTCAAAGTTCTTATAATTTGAATCTAAAAAAGAAAATCACAATAATTAAAAGTAGACGGAGTGAATATGTGATAAAACTTAAAATTGGTGGTGGAATTGGCAAGTAAAGTGGGCCCGTTAGAGAATAAATGTGGAAAATTTACCTCTGTATGTTGAATGGCAATTGAAGTGGGCCATAAATGAATGTGAATAAGCAAGCAAGCATTTTGACGGAGTCATATTCACATTTCTTGGATAGTAAAATGCCCGCGCTGTGCACGGGTCCAAGCATTAAGATTGATTTTTAAAATTGATTTACATATTTTAATTTTCAATTTGTTGTATATATCTATATATACTTCTAAGTTAAATATTCAAAAAGGAGAATATTTGATATTCCCTCTGTATTTTTTTTGGTTGTCTTAATTTCCTTTTTAAGAGTTAAACAATATGAATTTTGATTAATATTTTAAGAAGTATTTTTTTATCATATTGATATGAAAATTGTTGCAATTTATAGTATTTTTCGTATAAATTTTGAATATCTAAAAATTTATTTTAAAATATTGAATTAATGCAATCTAATTTAACTTTGAAAATTAGTCAAATTAACTCTTGAAAAACGCAACATGACAACTAAAAAGGAATGGATAAAATAATATTTAAAATATACTTAGCTAATAATACAAAAAGTATTATAAATTATATTTGCTATTTCTTTTTATCTCAATGTATATAGTATCTATTAAATGTAACTAATAATATTTTGTATCTCAATTTATATAGTCTCTTTATCTTGATTTAATATTTTTTGTGTGTAATCAAATTAATTTTTAAAAGCCATAATTCTCTATTTTATGAGTATATATACGTTGAAAATTTAAAATTGAAATAAGTAATAATTATCGATTTACCATACCGCTAAATATTGAAATCAAATTTAAAAATATAAACTATATCAATTTAATTTTAAAAGATCATGATTCTCAGTCCTAAACTTGAAATCGAAAGAAATTATAATTACCGATTTATCATATTACTAAATATTGAAATCAAATTTGAAATAAAGAAATGGGTCCCACGCATGATCACAATATTATGCTGCAAATGGAATTCTCCTTGAAATGAAGAGAGTTAGCAAGCAGGTGAAGCACACATGTTGACAGTGTGCTGCCTGCTAATGCTATCACTCATTAAATAAGAGAATTTGAAAACAACACCAATAGGTGAATTAAGGGCCCGTTTGGCCATGCGATATGGTATCATGATATGAAATCATGAGATGAAATTGAAGGTTTGTTTGGACACGCGATATGGAATTTTTGTGTTGTATATTTTCTCATAAACATAAAAATCTCATAAGTTGTAAAACTATTAAAATAGCCCCAATTGTTTATTCAATCTTATCAAATAAACAAAAATTATAAAATCGCATAATAAATTATTACAAAGTTATTTGTTCTTCACTTAAGTAATTGTTTCATCTAACTTTAATTTAATTAAAAAATTGAACATAAATTGTACTTGATATGCTCATATCTCTCAACTCCTCTTACGAATAACCTATAAAGTAGAAAAAAAACATACATTAGTGAGTAAATATTAACTTAGAAGTTAAATACACTAAGATAAAAATTAACAAACATCACTGACTTCTAACTATTTACAAGAAAAAACAATAGTTAAATATTATTGAATAACGAAATTTTAAAAAGTTACCACAAGTTTGAGTAAAAAACACTTCTAATAAAATTTAATCAAAAAAAATTATAACTAGTCCACTTGACTAAAATTAATAACTAATTGATCAAATTTTCCCAAGTCCTCAATCAATTAGACTTGATATTCTTCAGTCATGTGAACGAACATTGTTGTTTGGAACGTTGTTGATTGAATTGGGCTGGAAGTGGGTTTCTGTATTATGGAATAGGCTGAAAGTTGGAGAAAAATTAGAATTGAGGAAGTTGGGCTTGGGTTTGGGTCTAAGGTGGGCTGCTGGAAATTTGTAAAAAGGCCCAAAATTTTGGTCTCAAAATTGAGTGAAGTAGGAGGTCAAAGATGGGTTAGATCTTGGAGTTTAAGAAATTGCCAAATTGAGTTTAATTTAGAGAGTTTGGCTAAAATTTAAACAAGACGAATTAATGTTAATTAATTAACAAGCTTCTTAATCTTAACAAAATAAAATAATTAATTTAATTTTAAACTAATTAACTCAAAAGTATAAACTATAAATTAGCTAAACTAATTAACCAAATATTTAAGTAAAACTAAAATCTTTTTGAGATGATTTTCAAATATTAATATAATAAATCTATACAAAATTATATGGAATATATAAATTACTTTTAAAATTATAAAAATTATAAAATTACTTGAAAAATATTTAAAATTTTATAAAGTCAATTGTTTCAAGTCATTTGGAATTTAAGAAGCTCGATAATTAATTTATATTGTGGAGGTCCAAAATTGGATGTCAATTTTAAGGTGCTATCTAGGTATTTAGCCAAAAAGATATTCAAGAAAAAATAATGAAAGAATCTTATTAATTCATATAACCCATTCTGCACATTAATGAAATGTTTATTTTCACATAAGAATAGAAGAATCAATATCTTTTAAGTTAATAAAGTTTGGTATTGTTCAAATACTTGATGGTGCAGTTTCCATAAAATTATGTACTTAAAAGAAAAAGGAAATGATGTTGAGTCTATGCTACCATTCTTCTCCATCATACTACACTTCAATACGAGAATAATTTTCACATTAGAATAGAAGAATCAAGTTTTTAAGTTAATAAAGGTTGGCCATAGTTCAAACATCTGATGATGCAGCGTCTATACTATTCTTTACTTTACTTACAGTAAAAGGAATAGATGACAGTACTATTCCATTACATTCTCCTCCATCATATAAAATAGCAAATAGAGGATAGTGACTTTTATCAGCACGAAGTATCTTTCATGTGCACTAACAATTTGATGATGATATAGGGTGTGTTTTCCAATTTTCTCATGTTTGGTTGGGCTAAATGTTTTGGAAAATGTTTTCCAAATCAACTCATTTTCCTCAAATTTAAGGAAAATGACTTCCCTTCTAAACTAAAGGAAAACATTTTTCAAAACTCTCTTCCAACTTCAAATTACAATTATTTTTTTTGTTGAAAAAATCAATTTATTTTGTCCCTACCCTCAAACCACGCCCCAACCATTCCCCCAAAAATAATAATTTTAAAGCTTGTTTTTAAATTTAATTTTTTTACCCCATCCTCACCCCTAACCCCACCTCCTCCCAAAAAATATTAAAAATTGTTTTTAAAAGATATTTCTAGTTTCAATTTTTTATTTTTTTATCCCCCACCCACTACCCATGCCCCCCCCCTATCAGCCCCCAATCTCCCCCCCCCCCATCAACCCTCCTATCACCCCCCAATCTCCCCCCCCCCATCAACCCTCCTATCACCCCCCAACCCCCTTCAAAAAGAAAAAAAATTTCAACTTCAAATTTTTATTTTTTCATCCCGATCCTCGATTACCCACCCCCTTCTCCGGTCACCCCCCTCCCAAAAAAAAATTGAGTTTGTTTTTGAAAAATATTTACAAATTCAAAATTTCATTTTTTCACCCTACCTTGGACCCACCACGCACCTCCTACCCAACCCCCCACCCACGCATGCCTACCCCCCCCCCCCCCCCCCTCAATTTTTTTTTTCAAGTTTGTTTTTAAAAAATATTTTCAACTTCAAAATTTTATTTTTTCACCCTACCCTTGACCGCCCCGCCCCACCTCCTACCCAGCCCCCCCCCCCACCCCCCCAACAAAAAATTTAAGTTTGTTTTTAAAAAATATTTTCAATTTCAAAATTTCATTTTTGCACCTATAGAACCCCCACCCACCCACCCACTCCCTACCAGCCCCCCACCCCCCTCACAAAAAAAATAAAATAAATTTCAAGTTTGTTATTAAAAATTATTTTCAATTTTCAAAATTTTATTTTTTCACCCCTACGCTCGACCTCCACCCACCCACCTCCCTACCAGCCCCCCCCCCCACGCCTAAAAAAAATTTTAATTTTGTTTTTAAAATATATTTTCAACTTCAAAAATTTATTTTTTCACCCCAACCCTCGACCCACCCACCCACCCCCTACCAGCCCCCACTCCAAAAAAAAATTTTAAGTTTGTTTTTAAAAAATATTTTCAACTTCAAAATTCAATTTTTCACCCCTACCCTCGACCCCCCGTCCTCACCCACCCCCTACCACCCTCGCACCCCCCCAAAAAAATTTAAGTTTGTTTTTAAAAACTATTTTCAATTTCAAAGATTATTTTCTACTCTAATAAAAATAAAAGATATTTCTCAAAAATATTTTTTATTCATAAATCAGACAATAAAAATTTTTTTCGAAAAATATTTTCTACTCACCAATCAAACATGAGAAAATAAGTCAAAAATCAACTTGTTTTCCAGGAAAACATTTTCTAGGAAAACATTTTTCATGGAAAACATTTTCCTTCATAGCAAACACACTCATAATGAACACAACCAAAATTCATTGTCATAGTGAAGTATTAACTTCATTATTCAGATAGATCAAACCAATTTCAGAATGAAGAAGCAAGACTAGAAGTTAATCCTTCTCTTAAATAAATAATATATAAAATATGAACCTGTAAATAAGACCAAGAAGGTAATGCCCAGCTGCACCATTTGGAACCTACACAACAACCAATTAGCTATAAATTAAAGAAGCATGTCAATGGCTAACAGGAATAAAATAACTGGAGATGACAATACTATAAAATCTGCAAAGTGGATAGATATTTGAAATGATGGTTTTTACGAATCTACCTCTGCAGTTGGCTCATTAGGAGGGCAAAGTGTTGTCTCAGCTTCAGTGAGAAGATCCATCTGAAAGCATGATAGTGCAAACAAGTAGCGGGATTGAGCCATACTTGTCCCTTCATATAAAAATTTAAAAAGGGATGATTATGAGCATAATCTCAAGGACAAGTGTTATCAGAAATCCGAAGATAATAGGGAGGAAAAAAAAAGATATTGCAACACAAAAATGCAGTCATATTGTCTGAAAATACGACACGCACCCTTGAGAAGATGATATGCAGCATAAGCCTGTTGGTTGTGCAGGTAGCAGCCAGCTAAAAGTTGCATATTTGTCTACAATGGGCATAGTACATTATAGGAAGCAAGATAATTGACCAACTTAAGAGATTTCAACAGAAGTGCGTTAAACCCTCACATTCTTGAGTCAAATTTCACTAAGGGCAACAAGAAACAAAAAGTGAACTCCAAGAACATAAAATCTCTATAAACGACAAATTGAGTAATACATATGTTTACAAAGACTGATGAAGTGAAAACAAAAAAGTGTGGAGTACCTTAGAGGGGAACTCGGCACAGAGTCGTTCACACATGAAAATGGCGTTGTGGTACATAAAATGGCCAAGGCTGTTTTGCACAGACTCAGTTAGTAGGGTTTCCATTGATGCTTGAACTCGAATTCAAAGAAAGCCGAGGTTAGATAGGGAGAGGCAAGAGAGAGAGAGTGTGAGAGAGAGAGAGAGAGAGAGAGAGAGAGAGAGAGAGAGATTCAATCTTTCAATTTCAATTTGAGAGAAAAGGGTGCTACATTTTCTCCACCCACCGTACGTCCTCTTTTACCCTATGTTCACCAAAAAAGAAATTTTTTTTAAAATGAATTACTCCCTCCGTCCCATTTTATGTGGCACCATTTTCTTTTTGGTCAGTCCCAAAAAGAATGTCGCATTTCCTTATATGGTAAGTATTGAAATGTACAATTCCTCTTTTACCCTTATTAGTCTCACTTAATCTTAAAATAATACTCCAATACATTTATGAGGAGAGAGAGAAAAGTAAGCCTACTTTTTAAAGGACAATTTAGTAAACATTTCAAAATCTTCATTTATTTCTTAAACTCCGTGCCCGGTCAAATGTTGCCACATAAAATAGAACGGAGGGAGTATTAATAACTGAAAACAAAATGGCAATGGGGCTCACCTCAAGCGGGGCGGATTTGTCTTATAGCAGTCTAGGTGCAGAGCAGAGAGGCTTAAAATAATTTTTTGAAATTCTTTTGCAAGATAGGTTACGGGTTTTACAAATCATTTTCTTAATACGTTATTAATTTTATGTTTTTGGTCCTATTACTAAGTTATTTTGTGAAAATGTCAGGAATAGAGTTAGCCCCAGGAAGTAAAATATTTACAGCTCGCTGTAAGCATTTATATGTATTAACAACAAAACACAAAATAACAGCAAAAAATAAGATAAATAAGATCAAAATAGAAAATCCTTTTGAACAAATTGTGACAGTAATAGATAATAATGATTACAGTTACAAAGAAATAGATATAGAAGAAGATTTAGAAATAGTAAATGATAGGATTACTACATCAAAAAGAATAAAAAACACAGATAAAATCAAAAATACGTCTCAACCCCAAAGAAAATCAGTAGAATATCAGATGATAAAAAAGATTGAACCATACTATTACTATATAACTGGAATAATAGAATAAAGAAAACATATTATCATAATAATGTCACGACCCGATTTCTCAAGTCATGATGGCACCTACCATAACCCACCAGTAGGTAAGCCAACCCGTAACCCGGAATAACAAGTAATGGGTCTGAGGGTAGAAACTAAACAAGAGTAGGCAAATAATAATATAAACAGGCGGAAGCAAACCAAAAACATATATACAATTAAAGATCCCTCCCAGAATCTGGAAGTCATTAGTACAGAGCTACTAACAAAATGAGTACAAGTCCCAAAAGGGGATAACAGAGACTGAACTGTCTCGAAAGGAGAAAGACAAGTCTATATATACAGATGGAGACTGAAATAGTACAAAACGCCATGTGCTCACCCCCGTCTCCGGATCAGTCTGCTCTAAGCTCGATCAACGATGGCTACTAGTGCCCGGACCTGCATCACGAAACAGATGCAGAGCGTAGCATGAGTACCAACAACAGGTACCCAGTAGGCATCATAGGCCGACTGAACTTGAAAAGTAAAGGTAATATGAAAAGAAGGAATACACAAATCGAGGTCAAGAACAAAATCTAACTAACAAAGGAATGCACACGAGTGTACAAAGAACTAACTAAAGTAATCTATAAGCTAACTACACATGACTGGACCCCCATAAGCCCAGAAGGTACACTCGTGCGCAAGTTAAATAAAAACCCGAACGAACCCCCATAAGCCCGACGAGTACACAGAATAGCTAAAACTAAAGAGAATGGCATATAAGAACCCAAGAACGAAGAACATCGAACCAGAACCTCAACTCTAATTAGTAGAACCTAACAGTACGGAGGCCGAACCTCGAACCGAATGCTCACTAGAAGTACCCAAGTAACCAATCACAAGTATCAAGTATAAGAGGCCGGAACTCTAACTGGATGCTCTATATAAGTATCTGAGCAATAGAGGCCGGAACTATAACCGGATGCTCTATATAACTATTTGGGCAATAGAGGCCGAAACTCTAACCGGATGCTCTTTATAAGTATTTGGGCAATAGAGGCCGGAACTCTAACCGGATGCTCTATATAAGTATTTGGGCAATAGAGGCCGGAACTCTAACCGGATGCTCTACATAAGTATCTGGGCAATAGAGGCCGGAACTCTAACCGGATGCTCTACATAAGTATCTGAGCAATAGAGGCCGAAACTCTAACCGGATGCTCTATATAAGTATCTGAGCAATAGAGGCCGAAACTCTAACCGGATGCTCTATATAAGTATTTGGGCAATAGAGGCCGGAACTCTAACCGGATGCTTTATATAAGTATTTGGGCAATAGAGGCCGGAACTCTAACCGGATGCTCTATATAAGTATCTGAGCAATCGAGGCCAGAACTCTAACCGGATGCTCTATATAAGTATTTGAGCAATAGAGGCCGGAACTCTAACCGGATGCTCTATATAAGTATTTGGGCAATAGAGGCCGGAACTCTAACCGGATGCTCTATATAAGTGCCAATGTAGCTGCTGAAAGAGTCTCAATCGATCTATTCTCATAAATGTCCGTGGATCGCCGTCCACACCTAGCCAATCAATGAAAGTCCTTGGAATCGAATCGAAAATCAAATTCAAATCGCGAAGCAGAACTAATGTCGCCGACGTAACTCTTGAAGTTGTAACATCGGAGAAATAAGGATAACTATCATCGGAGAAAACGTATCGCCTAGCTAAGGCCCAAACTATCAGGCTCAAGTCTTCTACATCAGTCTACAAGGATCTAAGTCGACCGAGCGACGTCGGGATAAAACTAAAGCCTATCGGATCCGAATCATGTATTTCTAAGGCAAGCCCTAGTCAAACCTAAACTAAGGCCCAAATGCTTCAAAAAATAGTAAATTAAGAATGCAAGTACTCCACATAGCAAGGAGGGTCAATTAATAACACAAAGCATGCTCACAGTTACCCGATAATTCTCGAAATAGGCCGAAAACATGATGTCCAAACACCTATGCATGATTCAATAACAACCCAACCCAAATCCCAACTAATCAACATGCATCTACTTTCTCAAGCTCAATCTAGGAGATGGAAACCGTAGCCTACCTGTAAGCCGATCACACGCGCTCCAAAATTACTTCTCCGGAGCTTTTTGTTTTCAAACGTCCTCGAAACGCTGCCCCGCTATAAAAAATAGAGTCATAACGTTATTATGGTCGTTTAGACACCAAAATCACAATAAACAGAGATGGATCAATTTTGGAGTCAAAACGGGAATCGTGGGACCCGCGCTGGAAATTTTGGAATTAACCCCAAAAGTGGGTCCTAACTAGTTCCCCCAGCTCATATCCCAAAATGGAACACAATTCGGGGCTTGGGAACAACACACTATCAACATGCAACCAAAACCCAAATTACACTAAAACGGAACAAAAATAGCAGCTGCTATTTACACGAAAATATCAGAAACGATGGTCCAGATGCTGAAACCAATCACACCATGATGATCCTCACGAAAAACCCCACAATCTAGGCTTTTGAATCACCATATTCGCACCTAAAATGACCACGAAATCACCTTCTAAATTTTCCCAAAAAAATGAGCTCGAAATGAGCTAAGACAGCAGCTAAAACACAACTTTTACCTCCAATAAAAAGTTAAATACGAAATCTAACCATGCCAATGCGTTCTGCTTGAAAAACCACTCAAGATAGCCCCAAGAATCACCAAAATCGGATCTAAAATGACTAAAATATCAAGTCTCAAAAATTCCCAAAATCAAGTTCACAAAAAGGGTGTGGCAGCAGGTATTTTACGAAAATTACCTCAAACGGGGACCCAAAATCACTATCCAAGCTCACCAACGCGTTGTCCTCGAAAAATCTCACAACTTTGCCTTTTGAATCACCCAAATCGGTTGAGAGATGAGAGAGATGTGAGGGTTTAAGTTTTGGGAAATGTTGCTGATTTTTTTGCACTTATAGCAGATTTTCTGCACTTTTCCCAAAACTAAAAACTCCGACGGGGTGCTTCGAACTCGTTCGGAACCCCGTGTACGCAAACGAGATATGCAACCACGCCAAATTTGACATTCCAGACTCAACGACGCAGTCAAAATTTCCATAGGAGGTCATTTCGATAAAAAGTGGGTCCCACTTCCAAAAGCCTTTTTAAGTCAAAACCCACAAAAGGGCTCGGAAAGATATAAAAAAACCTCCAGACACAAAAGAAGGGTCAATCTAGACCAAACTTGACATTCCGGAGCTAACCGCGCTGACGGAATTTTCATCTGAGCACGTTTTCCAAGAATGTTGACCAAAGTCAACCTTAAGCCAAATTTCAAAGGCTAAAACGCCTAATCGCACCGACTCACACTGAAAACCTCGAGAGTCATGCCGACCATGCTACTAGCCTAAAATGACCCTTCCGGAGCTGATGGAATCATCAGAATTGGATTCCGATGTCATCTTCTTGAACTTTTGATCGAAAATGTTCGTTCAAGGTTCATAAGCTCCAAAACACTAAAACTCACACCATAACCAAAGGAACGAACAGGTGACCGAACTATCAGTCCCAGCAAGTCATAAATGACTTGGGATCGCTACAGGAATTCTCTAAACGACACACAAAATGCAAGACACTGAAATGACCAGGAGGGTCATTACAAATAAATACTAGACAAGAAGAAAATTATATACCAAGAGAATTAGTAGATGAAGAAGAAATAATCTCTAAAAAACAAACATGCCCCGAACTACCAAAAGAGTTATCATATATAGAAGATACGACTCAAAAAGAAGTAATCATAGGAGGGATAATTGTGTTAATACAATTTACAATATAACAAGGAGATAATTAACATTAGGAATAAAATGGCAAGAAGAAATGAAACCATATAATCTAGAAAATACACAATTAATTATAACTTATAAAAACAAAAAAGTTACAATAAAAAGGGCAATATGAAAATTTATATACTTGCAAAAATAATAGTAGAAAATTATTATAACAGATACTATACTCCAATGTTAGATACATGAGCAGAAGCAAACATGTGTAAACATAATTGTCTACCAGATGAAAAATGGGAGAAACTAAAAACCCCTATAGTTGTAACAGGATTTAATAATGAATGAAGCATGATAACATATAAGGCAAAAAATATAAAGTTACAAATATGGGATAAAATATTAACTATAGATGATATATATAGTTATGAATTCATAAATGAAGATATGCTTTTAGAAATGCCGTTTTTAAAAAAATTATATCCTCATATAATAACAAAAACACATTGGTGATTTACCACACCATGTAAACAAAAGATAGGAGCAAAAAGGGTAAACAATAAAAATAGAAAATCTACACCATGGATTAAAGGAAGTGAAAAAATAACTCAAAAATTAGAAAATATCGAAGTCACCCATAATATAGAATTAATAATATTTTCAATAGACAAGCTCAAATTAATTCACGAAAAATTAGAAATGTTGTATAGCGAAGATCCTTTGAAAGGATAGGAAAACCATAAAACAACAGTAAAAATTAAACTAATTGATGAAAATAGCATAATAACCCAAAAACCATTAAAATATAATTTTGATGATTTAAAAGAATTTAAAATGCATATAAAAGAACTATTAGAAAACAAATATATCCAAGAAAGTAACAGTAAGCATACAAGTCCAGCATTTATAGTCAATAAACATAGTGAACCAAAAAGAGGAAAAAGCCGTATGGTTTATTGATTACAGAAATCTAAATGCAAAAACAAAGACATATAATTACCCTATACCAAACAAAGTATTAAAAGTAAGACAAATACAAGGTTACAATTATTTCAGTAAATTTGATTGTAAGTCAGGATTTTACCATCTAAAATTAGAAGAAGAATTTAAAAAATTAACAGCCTTTACAGTACCACAAGGATTCTATGAATGGAACGTACTACCTTTCGGATACAAAAATACACCAGGAAGATATCAACATTTTATGAATAATTATTTTAATGAACTAGAAAATTGCATAGTATACATAGATGATATATTATTATATTCACGTACAGAAGAAGACCATATAAGACTATTAGAAAAATTTATCCATATTATAACATATTCAGGAATAAGTTTAAGTAAAAAGAAGACAGAAATAATGAAGACCCAAATAAAATTTTTAGGAATACAAATAGATAGGAATAGTATAAAAATGCAAAACCATATAGTACAAAAAATAATAAACTCTGAAGACCAAATAGATACAAAAAAGAAATTACAATCATTTTTAGGATTGATAAATCAAGTAAGAGAATATATACCTAATTTAGCAGAAAATCTTAAACCTTTACATAAAAAACTAAAGAAAGATGTAGAATATTATTTTGACAAAAAAGATCAAGATCAAATACAAAAAATAAAATTATTATGTAAGAAATTACCAAAATTATACTTCCCAGACGATAGCAAACAATTTATATACATAGTAGAATCAGATGCTAGTAATATAAGTTATGGAGGAGTATTAAAATACAAATACGATAAAGAAAAAACAGAACATCATTGTAGATACTATTCAGGAACGTTTACAAATCCCGAAATAAAATGGAAAATAAATAGAAAAGAATTATATGCTCTATATAAATGTTTATTAGCTTTTGAACCATATATTGTATATAATAAGTTTACCGTAAGAACAGATAATACGCAGGTAAAATGGTGGATCACAAGGAAGATACAAGATTCGGTAACAACCAAAGAAATACGTAAACTAGTATTAAATATACAAAACTTTACATTTACAATAGAGGTAATAAGCACTAACAAAAATGTCACTGCAGATTACATTTCAAGACAAAGCTACACAGACGGATCTAGACAAAGAAAATACAATTGAAAAAATACTAAATACTATGACATTGCTTTGCACAAAAATAGATAACATGGATAAGGAGCTACAACAAATGAAAAGTCAGCAGCATAACAATAAATATGCGGAGCTAAGTCAATCGAAAGACTTGAAAATTCCAGAGCTAGAAGGTGACGATGGGAAACACTGAAAAACCCAAACTAATAATCTGTTATATGCAGCTACAGGAAGTACCTTTGCAACAAAAGGAGAAAACAAAATGAGATATGTCAATACAACCATGAACAAAATATTTGAAAAACCATTCACACCAAAAACTCAAAACGAACCAGTACTCATACCACCTCAAATCACTACATATAAAGAAAGCTTAGGACAAAATAAAAAGACATATAACCATATAACCAGAGCCTATATAGAAAATATTCACAAAATACAAACTTTCCTAAACCAAAATCCCAGATCCAAGAATGCAAAAAACCCTGATGAAAATTATATTTACCCAAACTTTACAAGGATATAATAAATTAATTGCACAACCAAGAACTAGCACCAATTTAGTAGAAACTTGCTATCACTATGGATTATTGCGTACAGTATACACCGCCAATCAAAAATCAACTTGGAGAAGATCAATGAAAAGTGTACGTTCAGCATAAGCCTCTGTTGGTACACAATGTCCTCTCAAGTGTGAGACGAACAAACCATGAAATCCTTTCGGAGCTGCAAAAGATTTTCATGAAAAGAACATGTTTTCTCAGTGACTTGTTTGTACATGGAGCTTTCTCGAAAGGAAAAGGATGCAAGAACTTCAAGTAGTTGTATATTTTGAGCTGGATAATTTACAGCCTGATCTTCTCATGTTTCCAGTTCATTCAGATATGTTATAATTCATCTTCCATCTCATCTGGTACATGCAGCTTTTCAATGGCAGCCTGATAGAAAATGCGGATACAGTGGGAAGGACAAAGGTCAGCTTATATAATTTGAATCAGTCTTGTGATAAAATATCTCTTCAGTAGACAAGCATTAGTACAATTCAGAAACAAAGGGGTAAAGAACGAAAGAATAAGACCAGGAAAAAAGTAGGCAAGATATTACAAAGTTTCCAGCACTAGAGGACAACATCGAAGGTGATTTCAGTAGATGTCTGAAACTATTTTCTTTCTGGTATCAAGTTAGAAATAGAACTATGATAGAATAAGTAAAAGGCCGACAGAAGAAAAGAAACCATAATGCTCGACTTGCTGAAAAAAATTACCAGTATACACACACACATTATGTGCATCTGTGGGCAATTATGTGCAAATGGGCAATTACCTTAATGGTAGCAACATCAGTTGCAGATGGTTTTAAATCTAATGCCACTCCAAAATGAAGCATGGCTTTGTCGTACATATTACGCCTCTTGTATATCCGACCCATCAAAGCATAGACACTGCTCTCACGAGGAGCATGCTCTTTAAGTTCCTCTAAGACTTCTAAAGCGGCATCAAAACTTTCCGTGCTCACAAGGATGTTAGCCTTCTGATACATTGGAAGAGGGTTTTTCTTGTCTGCTACAATAGCCAGCTCCATCACTTCCAATGCCTCTTCATTTTTCTGACCATCCATAAGATGCAGATTAGAGTCTAAATTAAGGACAACATCATGTTTCAGCATAAAAATCAGAAAAGGAAACTACTACACCTTCAGAGCGTGTAATGCAGTGCCAAGATATGACATGATAACAGAAGACTGTGGATTTATACCCAAAGCCATTCGAAAGTGATGCTCTGAAAATTCAAACTTCTCCTGTCGGAGATAGATCATTCCAAGCCCATACCAGGCATTGTAATGCCTGGCATCCACACGAAGTGCACTCTGATAGCACTTAATAGCATTTTCAAAATCTTCTAAAGCAACATATCTGGAAAAATAGACAGTGAGGCAAGCTTATAAAGAAACTAACAATACACCTCTCTACAATTAAAAGAAAAGATATTCCACGCTCACGTTTGACCAATAAAGGAATGATTGAGAAAGGGGAGGAATGGGACGTACTCATGACCACAAAGCGTGTGCCCGTATGCAAATCTAGGATTTAGTTGTACAGCTCGTTGAAAATTTTTAAGAGCAGTTTCATGGTCTTTCTGTAAACTATAGCAATTCCCCATAGCACACCTGTTATACCATTGATAAAGTATTAAAACTAGGTCATAATGAAGAGAACAGATGATACTGGTTTTCCTGTTTAGCTCCAACTACTATTTGCAACAGCAAGAAACACTGTTTGGCGCCTTGAAAGATCAAAGCCTTACTTGGCACAAGAGCTCCACAAACAGAACTTATATCCAACTTTAAATGTGTGGATGCATGTAATTTAGCAGATGATAGTCTCATAGTGATGTCAACATTATATTTCAACATGCACTGTGGAGATTACATTCCAGGCTAGAATGAAAAGGTCGCCCTTCATGTTCCACTTTATTGAGGCATTTTCTCTACTAGTACAAGTAGCAAAGAATAGCAGTTTTTAACAATCCTTACATAAAATTTTATTTTTTAAATGAACAAGTCAGCCATTGGGTAAACTTCTCGATTATTTATCTACACCTTGAGTGCAAACACAGAAGTCAGAATTTTTAGACAGAAGGATGTAATTCCAATTGTTAAAAGCAACATAATGTGTCTACCAGGTTAAGAATAATCAGAAACACAAGGAGTCACATTGTCAACAACTTGATCAAGGGTAAAAAACAGCAAACATGGCGAAGGACTGATGATCAATGATACTCAGCCATTCATGAGTAAAATAAATTAATACTTGATAAGATGTTACAAATAAGCCCAAATAACCACACATCTCTGGACAAAAGGAATAAACAGCACCAGAAATATCTATATCAGACAATGTTATCTTCGGATTTTGCAGGAATTACCAAGATTGAGGAGCTAATCTATCAGTTGATACCAGCACCTGCGCCAGATAGCTCAACTTCATGTCCTCCTTGAGATGCTACAATTAAAATCAAATAGTTTGTCAGGAAAGAAAAAAAGGCAGAGAGAACATAAAGATTGGGACCCTTTTGGGACATAAGAACTAGTAGGATAACCATATATAACCAGTTTCCTAACTACCAAAAATATGCTTTTAAGACATAATTTTAATTAGTGAACAGTACCCGGAAGCAACAAAAAACACCAGAACAAAAAAACTATTGTTATTAAATAATAGTAATAATGATCATAGAATATAAGCAAATAACGGTAATGTCGACGTAACAAGGATCAAATAAAGTTTCTTCAAACCTGTCCGGCATCACCACCCCAGAGATGGTAAAATTAAAGGCAGTTAATACTTCCACACAGCAAAGCATACATGTTCTCATTGAAACACTAAAAGAGCAAAGAAGACTCACAAACAACACTGTCGAGTACACGTCCATTCCTTCTAAACTATAAGGTGAGGCCAGACGAGCAAGGCCAAATGCATGATCTGCTTCTAGGTAATCAACCATTTCGAAGTATGCTCTTCCAATCTGGCATTCAAATACGCACATCAGATACTATATAGACAGATAAATGTGGCATTCTAATTTCCTCATGAGATGCCACAATAGACAGATACCAAGAGAACCATTTTTATTTGATAAGCAACAGATACCAAGAGAACTAAAGAGCAAGTTAGGCCGAGAGATACCAAGAGAACTCAAGAGCAAGTTAAGCCGAGGGATATGTAAAAAGAAAGAATCCCGTGCCCCACCACAAGTAGAAAGGGCTAAAGACCCTCAAACACAGTACAAAATGGTCCTAAAAATTATACTAGCAAAAGTAGATGTTCTCCGGACCATGCAACGCAGTGCCTTGAATCATGATCAATAATCTAGACTGTCCAAATGACAGTTCATTGTCCTATTCAAAGGAATTCCTTCAGCACCTCACACGGCAGAATCAAGATCCTAGAAGACCACTCTTGGGAAATAGTGCTCCCTGCCAATCAATGAAATCTGAAGAAGACATGCATATCTATTCCAGGCCACTTAATATTCTTGTTGTGTACTGGAACAAAGCTATCTAATCGATATTTCTAGTACATATACATAACTATATAACTAGTCTAAACATGGAACTTATACATCATGAAAGATGAAGTTAGATTCACAAAATTAACCCCAAAAAAGAAATGAGCATGTCCAGCTAGTTTGAAGGAACCTACATACTGGAAGCAATTTCAATTAGAGACGAGCAAATAAACAGTAAAGGACAAGAATGAATATCTCCTTTGATTCCCTGAACAAGCATAAAGAGAAAACTTAAAATGAACAGGACTTTGAACGGAGGAAATATAAAAATACATACATTGCCAGTGTTATCAAAGGCGAAAAGCGCAAAAAAGCTCTAAGGTCCATGGGGGCTTTAAGCGCAAAGCGCAAATAAAGCGTGGGCTTTAATGAAAAATGGCGCAAAGGGAGAAAAGAATACAAATATATATGTTTAGTCCAAGACTAATAATTATAAACATGAATGACAAATATATGACCAAAGAAATTGAAAAAAATTTATGGTTAAGTGAAATATCAATTATTTAGTTTCACTTCTTCATAAAAGTCTCATTGGCAAGGAAAAGCTTGCCTTAGAACCTTGATGACGACACTGAAGCGCACATAGGCGAAGCGCTCAACACGTTTTGAGCCTCGCTTCCGGGCTTAAGCACGCTTAAAGCGCGCCTTTGATAACACTGTACATTGCCTCCAAAAGGATTGGAGAAAAAGTGATCAAGACAGAGAACCTTTACCTGAGAAAGAACCCATCCAGTGTGATAATGTTTGTGTGGGAGTTTGTTATAAACATCCAGTGCATCCTGTTCCACCGCAAAGCATCATATTTCAACCAAATCAATGCAGAGCATCAAATGAATGCTGAAATTTATCCATTCAGAATCAAAATGTAATACCTGACATCTATATAAACAAGAAAGTCTATAGCCTTCCCCAAGAATCCTGAAAAGGGCCAATATCTCTGAAGCACCTGAGAGGATAGATGTGCTGCTTACATTAACCCCAGAAGCAGAAGTTCCGGGCCCTTCTTGTTCAAGAGGTCTAGCATCTCCAGAAGGGTGTGACATAGTCATATTTAGCCGAGAATCATTAGAAATGTCATTGCGAGTCCCTGAGATGCAGACCTAATACAGTTACGAATAAAAACACATCTCAAAGGTAGATGTCATTTTTCTTAGGTAGCAACAGTGCACAAACACAAGAAATTCCACACGAACATAGCTGTTGGTGTTCAGCTTTCTTCATTTTTCCTTTGATTTATAGTAGTATTTTCAGATGAAAAAAAATAAAATTATCTGTACTCTTGAATTCTTTCAAATGATTAATGCATCAATCAATTGTGATCCCACACATCCAAATTGTAGTAAACCAGAACCGGGGAACTACCGAAGTAAAGTTTCAACTTTGACGAATAATAAAAGAGGTAAGGAAAAAGTCAAAAAATAGAGGGAGAAAAACAATCTCCTAAAGTTTGTGACGGAACCACTAAATTAAACAAGTATGCACAAGTCTATTCGAATTTAGGTGATCATGAAAGTAACTCAAATATAACAACAACAAAATTTGTTAGATTTTCAGAAATATCACATGTAACACAATAGCAATCCATTTGGAGCACAGGCGGGGTTTTGTGCCTCCCTTAAGTTTAGAGAAAATATCTTCAGATGATATGTCCTTATTAGATGATAGAAAATTTCCAGAAAAAACCAAACCCAACTTCTTTTTCTGTACCAGATTAATATACAAATTTAGCTCCATGCAGGCTTGGATGTCAGCATATGACCAGCCAACTGCTGTTCAAGTGTACTATATTTCTGCATAGAGAGGGGGGGAAAAGAAAGAAAAAAGTTGCCCGACACTCCGTTTTGTCTCACGCATTAATGTTGACTGGCTACAGTCAAAAGTCAACACTTCTTTGCAATTATACTTCACTTCAAGCAATTGTGTGAACCAAACCTTAGGATTCACATAAATATTTATGATGAGTCTCCACTCTAAAAAGGCGACAATGCCTAGGTTGAAAATACAATGGACAACAGAATTGTCAAGAGAAAAGGCAAAAATATCAATCACCTTCACCATAGTTTTCGGTAGCCCAAGATTGTGCCTTTCGACTTGTCATGGAACGTAAAGTCATTGAGCTCAGCTTCGAACTACCATAATATTTGGAAGAATGAATTGTTCCATTTCCAGAAGCACCAGATACATTTGAATTTGTGTTTCCAGTAGATTCTCCAGCAAGCCTTGAATTTCGTCGAGGGCCAGAATCAGAAAATAACCTCCCAGATATCTGGAAAGATGAGAGATAGTGGACTTCAGACCCAAAAAAAAGGGGGAATGGAGACAATGAAAATCCACCATATAAAGCACCAGAAATGTAAAGGGAGTTTAGTGATTAAAAGTTAAAACTGAACAAATGCACAAAATAAAGGAGATGAACAAAATCAACACCATAGTTCAACAAGCTAAAAGTTTTTAAAAAAATTCTCGTTTTTAAACCAAAAGAAGTTAAATAATACAAAATAAGAGCCTAGCCTCTAACAACCGACTTCTACAGGTGAAAATTGGTAAGGACAGCAGGCTTGCACCAAAAGCTTCACACACTAAACGCTCACTTCCAAATTACAACAAAAGAGAAAACTAATACTTAAATTGTTATGAAATCATTTTGTGAAGAAGCTTTTTTTATCACGAAAAACTTAGAATAAAAGCTGTTTCGCTTTGTGAAGAGTCATATAAAGGCATCTTGATTGATAGACATACTTAAAATGGAATATGAGGAAGTACGACATTACTTCAGTGGGAAGTTTCTATCAAAAAGCTAACAATCCTGCAGCAATTATACAGAGAAAGAAGAACTTAATATTAAAATAGACTAGATGACTGAAACCTATGTATTATAGTACTGCAGACCTTTCTTAACTTCCCCTCATCAACAAACTTTCTCCGAGGGGCCTGAATGGTTGAATTGACAGTTGCTCGTGGAGAATTATCAGCACCAGCCACAGATGCATTAGTTCCATTTTGCTGAAAATTTCTACAAACTGGAGGTGGAACCACTCCTGACAACTGCAAAGAAGTTGTATTTTACAAACTTTCGAAAAATCAAAAAGAAATTCTAGTGTTGCCAAATTGCATATAAGAATGTCAGTTGCTTCTTTAATATAGAAGATTTTGTCACCTTTACAGATTGTTTAGCCAAGCTTTTGGGAGGCCAAAAGTGCTTCTTCTTGTTTTTAAAGAAGTGTGTATGCTTAAAAAAGTGAGTTGTTTAACCAAGCTATGAGGAGAAAATAAGTGTTTCGGGGAGCAGCAGAAGTTTAAAAAGATGGCTTTTCTCCCAAAGTGCTTTATTGAAAAGCACTTTTGAGAAAATACACTTAGAAGCACTTGTTAAAAACATGGTCAAACACAAACTGCTTCTCACCAAAAGTACTTTTTAGAAAAGCACTTTTCAAAATAAACTGATTTTAGAGGCTTGGCCAATAAGGCTATTAATTTCACTTCAATTAACAAGAACATAGTTCTGTGAAACTATACAGATATCATTAGAAAGTCACCAACTATGTTCTAAACCGGAGAAGACGTTTGTTTTAGGCTCCATTGGATTGAGCATAAATTAGACATTTTCTGTGCTCTTCAAAACTTGCAATCTGCTTTAAATTAGAGTCAAATTCTCTGATTGCTACCCTCATCCTCAATCTAAAGAAACTATGATCTAACTCAGTGTTATCAAAGTGCGCTTTAAGCGCGCTTAAGCCCTAAAGTGAGGCTCAAAACGTGTTGAGCGCTTCGCCTCGCTCTATGTGCACTTCAGTGTTGTCATCAAGGTTCCAAGGCAAGCATTTCCTTGCCAATGAGCCTCTTATGAAGAAGTGACACTAAATAATTGATATTCCACTTTATCATTAAAAAAAATCGATTTCTTTGGTCATATAAATTTGTCATTCATATTTATAATTATTAGTCTTGGACTAAACATATATATTTGTATTCTTTTCTCCCTTTGCACCTTTTTTCACTAAAGTCCACGCTTTATTTGCATTTTGCGCTTAAAGCCCCCACGGACCTTAGAGCTTTTTTGAGCTTTTCGCCTTTGATAACACTGGATATAACTAACAAATACATTGTCACCATTTTTATTAGAATGGTAATGGTGTATTGCTTGGTACAATGGACAATCTAGAAAAACATGTCTCACTCGGGATTATCTGCAGAGGAGGGGATACCAGTTATGTAACAAATGGTATATGTGTAATAACAACAGAGACAATCAATCATATATTCTTGCATTGTCCTATAGCAGCACAAATATGGCAGATGTTTTACAGTATTTTGGACGTGAAGTGGGTAATGCAAAGATCAACCGCAGACTTATTTAAATGCTGGAACAGGAAAGGTGTAAAAGGGCCTTTGAAAACTAAATGGAATACAATTACAGCATGTTTTTGATGGTGCATATGGAAGGCAAGGAATAGAAGAGTTTTTGCGGGTCAAGCTAACAATACTATAAAGATCAAATCTGACTGTAATATTTTGTTCTAGTAGGATTAGGATGGATTTTGTAAATGATGTGGAAACCTTATGACAGTGCATAGATAGCTTGCAATAGAAGGTTACAGACTTCTCTTGGTTTTTGAACTTTTGGTGGTGTACTCGGGTACAACCTTTGTGCTACATCGATAATACTTACCTTTTAAAAAAGATCACTAACCTAATACTACTTTTCTTTTATGCAAACTTAGATATATATATATATATAATATATATATAATCTGTCAATGTCTAATTCTTTTTTTTGAGAAAGTAACTTTGTATTCACAAAAAATAATCATCAAAAGAATGATGAGGAGAAAAAGTTATGTTATCTTTAAAGAAAAATAAAAATTAAGCATCTTCACTGCAATGCATACAGCGATAGCAAGTAACAACCAATGAACCTTTTCTTCAGTTAGCACCAGAAGAAAAGAGTTCCTATTTCCCATATAGAAAAGACACAAAAGATAATATGTCATTGAACAGACAAACTAACAACTATGGATGTATATAAACAATGTAGAGAAAAATTGGAACAAATACTGGTTAACTAGAGACAAGATTTTTGATTGCAGATAGAATGCAAGCCATGAGCAGCAGCATAATCTTAAAAAGTAAAACAATCACCTGATTTGGTTGAGTAAATAGCAGCTATCTCTAGGATTAACAAAAGGATAAGCTGTTATCCTGTTTTTGTGGCATGCTAAGTTATCTTTATGTATAAAAGGACTTGTCAGAAAGAGGTCAAGTTAGAAGGTTCAGACATGACTATTATAAAGTCAACCCAAATTCTTTTATCAAAAAGTGAGACTTCTGATTAAGGTGAAACCATTTTAAAGTTCTACTATGATACTCCCCAAGTGAAGATAATTGGCTATTGTTTAAAATCAACTAAGGGCTTACAACAAAAAATGTTTTACAAGTCGGTATCAAATTACCTGTGATGCCATTGGTGAGGGAGTGTTGTAGAATGACATGTTAGTAGAAACCCCACCTAAATTCTGGATAGCAGCTGCTCCATTATAATTTCCAGACATTTCTCGAAGATTATTGCTGTGTGTATGTTTTGATTGCCTAGGGCTGATGTCGCCTGAGACAATATTCGTAGAAGCTACATTCTGATCATCAGTGGATGCTTGTAAATTTTGAGATTGGTTCCCTTGGTCTATGTGTTGTTTCTGAATGCAAAGCAAAGATGCTTCCCCAAAAACTGCAGCTGCTTCTTCTGCAGCACCTGGTATGTCGCCCAACAATAAGGATGCAAAATATAAAATCATAACTAAATAACAATGGCAATCAATATAACCTTCAACAACAACAACAACAACAACCCAGTGAAATCCCACTAGGTGGGGAATCAATATAACCTTCATGAAGTAGAAAATAACCTGAAAATATTATTTGGAAAAAAAGTAAATGTATGTTCAGCCATTCTTAAGTCAATGGAAATTTATGCAAAGTTTTCAAGGACAATACCACCAGTCAAGTTCGCTTTCTATATAGCTAAGTTCTCCAAAACCACTTAAGTTCACAATCCAGGCAAACAAGAGAAATATCCCAAAATTCGGCAGAAAATTTTAGAAAGTATAACAATTAGCTGAAAATACTACATTTGTTCCCAATTACTTTTAAAGATGAAGGAAATGTTTCTGCCTTTGAAAACAAAATCTCTCATCATGTCATAATGATTGTATCAAATAGTAAAATCTTTCTAAAATAAAACAATGGTATCTACACAATCCCAATGTGATGACCTGACCCTTTTTAGTTTACAAATCCGAATCATGTTCCGAGACTTCTTGTAGCTCAGGATAGCTATTTTATTTAATTTTGGACACTGGTAAATGTGTATATATTTCATCATGAGCAAAACAATTCATGGATTGTACTGAAACCATTTTTGGAAATTCTACTATCTTATTTCTATACTGAATCAAAACATCAATAATATAGACAATATCATTTTAGTATAACTGATTACGCCAAAAACATAAGATCAAAATACAATTCAATTTGATAACTGATTACACCAAAAAACATAAGATCAAAATGCAATTCAATTTGATCCTCCGCATAAAATTCAGTATTTACTATGTTCTCAAAACGCCTAGAGTTCCTCTCATTCCATACTGCCCACCAAATGCTTGCAGGAACAATTCTCCGTCTACTTCTGTTCTTAGCCTGCAGTCTGCAGACCTGCTTCCTCCCAACTCTGAAGTACTACGGACATAGTCATGATATGCCTTTGAGATTTAAGAACAGTCTCCACAGCTATCTTGTGATCTAGCAATGAAGAAATAGATGATTAACTATCTCTGCACTATCACCACAAAAGAAACATCTAGAAAATATTGATACCCCTCTCTTCATCAAGTTGTCTTGAGCCAGTACTGCTTCCTTAGCTGGCAACCATACAAAACAAGACACTTTATGTGGTATTTCAGTTTACAGAGATGCAATTACAGGACCAAATGTTTACTTGCTGAATGGGGTGATTCAACCTACTATAAACAATTTTCACCTTGAAAGATCTCATTACTTCCTTCCCACCATAAAACATCTTGTCCTGCCTCCAAATCACTGAACGATTCAATTGTGCTGAAGAAACCAGCCACTCTTTGGATTTTCTAATCATTTAACTATCTTCTGAAAGTGAAGCTCCATTCTTGAGGCGTTCAATGGGCTGCTATAGTCCTTTGTTAATGTAGGACTAAAAAGTGTACGTCTGGGGAAGAGTAATTCCAGGTTGCCACCGTGCCTATCTCATGACAATCATCCTTCTAGAAGTCAGTCTTTTTTCCCATTATACACTTTAATCTTGGTGTTGGGCTTGAGTTCATTCTATAGTGTTCTGATGGATAGCCATAGGCTTCTCCTTTTCTGACACAAATCTCCACAAGGTGTAGTATTATCTTCCTCCTCTTTCCGCCACAAAAGTTGATTTTCATTATTGTACTTCCACAACCATTTCACTCTAAGTCCCTTGGCCTTGCTCTGTCTCAATCTCCCATATCGCTTTCTAGCTATTAGTGTTTCCACTTTACCAAGTGTTATCCATTTCTTTCTTTATTTTCTTGCCAAAGAAAGTTCCTCCTGATTTTATCCAATCTATTCATAATTCCTGTGGGGATTGTAAACACATACATCATATAAGTCGGAAGGGCATCAAGGACAAAATTTGTAAGAGTCGATCTACTCCCAGAGATAGATATTGAGTCTTCCATGCCATTTTCTTCACACTTCTCAATCACAATATTCCATATTTTACTGGACGTAGATATAGTTCCCAAAGGCATTCCCAAGTACATGGTTGGTAAGGCACCAATTTCACCACCTAAGATTGCATTCAACATCTCCATATTTGGCACTACATTGATGGGATACAAGAAACTCCTCCTCTAGTTAATACGCAAGTCAGATGTTCCTTCAAATAGCACTAGAATCACCATAAAAAAAATTGAGTTGCTCTTCTTCAGCATCACAAAATATGAGTGTATCATTGGCATATTGATGATGGGTTATCTCTAAGCCGTATCTACCAGCTCTAGCAACATCAGAACCTTTTAGCCAGCCATTCAGATTTGTTGTTTTAACCATCCTTGTCTGAGACCCTTTGTGCTCTAAAAAAACATGTTGCTGGGCTATTCATAAGAACTGAGAAGCTCAGTACTAATATGCAATATTCAATCCAGTGAATTCATTTCTGTCCAAAACCCATCCTCTCCATTAGGACCATAAGATATCCTCAATTAACATGATCATATGCTTTCTCCATGTCTAGCTTACACAAAATTCCTAATTTCTTTTGCTTCAACCGGAGTCTATTGCTTCATTGGCTACTTAGACAGCATCCATGATTTGCCTTTAATGAAAGTCGTCTGTTAAAGAGTACCAATTTAGCCATCACACTTTTCAGCCTTTCTGTTAGCACTTTGGAGAAAAGTTTGTAAATGTTGACTATCAAGTAGTTCGTAAATGATTTGTCTTCCTTTAATGAAGGTCATTTGTAGAGTGTTAGAATAGGAATAGGTATATACAATTCTACTTAGAATAGGAATAGGATGTTAGAATAGAAATAGATATACAATCCTACTTAAGATAAAAATAGGAATAGTATATAGTATCCTACTTGGAAAATGATTCAATTGTAGTGTCTACAAATAAGGTCTCTATGTAATAATACAAATACACAATTCAATAATATTCTTCTCATATATTTCTCACATGGTATTAGAGTCAAGCTCATCCCAATTGTTGTTCACCGATGTTGGGCCCCCATTTATAAGTGTTCACGCTCCAGTTGAGGCTAGGCTTGCGTGGGAGTGTTGAGAAGTCTCAAATTAGCAGAGGGATGAGAAACTGATCTCCTTATATGAACTTGTACAAACATCCCCTCATGGGCTAGCTTTAGAGGTTAAGTTAGGCGCACGTATCATATTTTTACATAGTATCGGAGCTTCTCTGATCTTGGTAGAAAAGAAAAAAAAAAAAAAACTTCCGCTGCCAGCGGGCACCTATGGCCCATATATGTCGCCTGTCTGGCCATTGGTTATGTTCACAAAAGTAGGGCCAATGATATATGCATGAACCCCATATTCAAGGGAACAAAACTAAATTAGAGAGGGCATCATGCATCAATTTCCAGCGACTTTCTAGGGTTGTTTTGTGTCAACCCCATATCTATCTGTGTTTGTGTAGCATCGTGTCATCTTTCCGATGACCACTCTCATTTTGAATTGTGTAGCACCGTGCCATCATTTCGATGACTACTATCCCATTTTTTGACTACATTGGGAATCAGTGACTAATTTTTCATATTCAATTTGTGTAGCACAGGTGTCTTTTCGATGAATACTTTTTCATATTTAATTTATGTAGCACCATGCCATCTTTTTGGTAACTGCATATCTGATTTTTGTAGCACTGTGTCATCATTCCGGTTGCTACTTTCTTTTGTGTAGCATCTTGCCATCTTACTAGTGACTACTTTTTTATATTTAATTAGTGTAGCATCGTGCCATCTTTCTAGTGACTACTTTTTCATATTTAATTACTGTAGCATCGTGCCATCTTGTTGGTGACTCCTTTTTCATATATAATTTTTATAGCACCGTGTCATCTTTCCGGTGACTACTTTCTGAGAAAAGGCCCAAAATAGTCCCTCATCTTTGGGTTAAGACTCAAAGTCATCCTTGAGTTTTCACGTGGAGCATTAGTAGTTCCTCATGTTTGCAATATTGGTGCACTTTTGGTCCTCCTTCAAAATTTTGCCTATTTTTTAATATTAATTTTATTCATAATTTATATATGGAATGTTTAATCGTCATTTTATATATTTAGTAGAAATAATAACTCCATGTGGGAGATTGTGAGAAGAAAAACACCTTATTTTGTTTAGTAGAAATCGTATTGCAGGTAAAGTCGAGAAGTTCATCACGATGATTTCACGTACAATAGTACAATTTTTTCTTTTCTTGCAATGTCATATGTTAAAATGTTCTTAGTTTAGCTGCAATAATATTTATATTGAACAGAACAAGGTGTTCTTCTTCTCACATTCTCTCACATAGAATTATTATTTCTACTAAATATATAAAAAGACGATGGGTCATTCCTTACATAAAATTATGAACAAAATTAATGTTAAAAAATAGGCAAAAATTTAGGGGAGGACCAAAAGTGCACCAATATTGCAAACATGAGGGACTATTAGTGCTCCATGTGAAAACTCAAGGATGACTTTGAGTCTTAACCCAAAGATGAGGGACTATTTTGGGTCTTCTCTCTCTACTTTCTCATATCTAATTTGCATAACATCGTGCATCTTTCCATTGACTACTTTCTCTTAACCGATTTGTGTAGCATCGTGCATCTTTTAGGTGACTCAGATCTTATTTACGTAGTTTCAACTTTTGTCAATGTTGTGCGAAATCCAAGAGATCTGAGTTTTCCAGCAATATTTTTTTTGCTTTAGATTCACTTTTGCCAAAAGGCTATACTCAAATATTTGGGTTGGATTACAGTGATACTTTCTTCACTGTGATCTCGATGAAGTAGTCTATATGGAGCAACCACTTGGATTTGCTGCTTAGGGGGAGTTTAGTAGCCTTATATGTCGATTGCTAGTGGAGTTGATAATTTTTTGCATCAAATTCAGTATTTCATGAGAGACCTCGTATTGAGATTGATTGTCATTTTGTCAAAGAAAAGATACTCTCGAGAGATATTGTTACAAAATTTATGAAGTCAATTGATCAACTTGCAGATATCTTTACCAAGTCCCTCACCGATCCCCATATTAATTACATCTGTAACAAGCAAGGTGCATATGATTTGTATGCACCAGCTCGAGGGGAGTGTTAGAATAGGAATAAACAAATACAATCCTACTTAGAATAGGAATAGGATGTCAAAATAGGAATAGGTATATACAATCCTACTTAGAATAAGAAAAGGAATATAAATAGTACTCCCTCTGTCCCAATTTATGTGACTTACTTTCCTTTTTAGTCAATCCCAAAAAAGAATGACACATTTCTATATTAAGTAACAATTTAACTATAAAATGTCTATTTTACCCTTAATGAAATGATTTACAGCCACGCAAATTTATATCATTCATTTTGGACCACAAGTTCTAAAAGTCTTCCTTTCTTTCTTAAACTCCATGTCGAATCAAACTACCTAACATAAAATGGGACGGAGGGAGTATATAGTATCCTATTTAGTAAAGGATTGTATTGTAGTGTCTATAATTAAGGTCTCTGTGTAATATAGATACACAATTCAATAATATTCTCATATATTTCACATAAGAGAATCTACAAGTTAGCTCAAGATAACTATTTGGGACTTGATTGGAAAATTTCGTTAGATTCTAAGATGGTTCGACTGGGTTTGGAACACATTTTGCATAAACAACATTTTTAGAAACAAATAAAGAATCCAACCCCTCATTTTGTGCAATATGTGGTCCAAATCATAATTTAACTGTATGGTTGGATCCATTCATTATTTGTGACTCATAGAAAGTGGTTTCCTCCAATTATGAGTCCATTTGATATGTTACAGTTCAAAAAAAGTGAATAGATGAGGGCAGATTTTTTAGATGCAACAATTATAAAATACCAAATTCATCATGTTATAAAAGAAAATCTAGTGCAAACAACTATTTTTGGAGATTTTGAAAGCATAGCTTGTGGGGAAAAGGTGAAAAATATTGAGGATCAAGGAGAAACATTGAGGTAACATTTTCACACATTCTTTGATCATTATAACATATTTGGATCATGCATCTAACACCATATCCCATGATTTTGGTGGTCTTTCTTCCTTGCGGCTATATTATGGGGAACTGCCTTACCCCCGACAAAGGTGGAGGATCGTCGAGGGTCAATCGGAAACAGTTTCCCTATCCCATAAAGGTAGGGGTACGACTGTGTACATTTTACCTTAACCTTCCCCAGATCCCACTAGTGGAATTACACTAGGTTTGTTGTTGTTGTAAAAAGATTGCTAACTACAAACTCATTCCAGTGTTGATAGCTTTAAGGATATTTCAAACATTTTAACAGAACCAAGTGTTTATCAACACCTTATTTTCAGTTTGTGCACGACTATCCAAACACGTATGTGCTTATTCATAAATTCAACTCCAACACTTAAAAAGTGCTTTTTTGCACTTGATGTACACTGTAACTACAACTCATTTTAGTGTTAATAGCTTCAAGGTTATCTCAAACATTTTAACAGAACAAAACGTTTTATCAACACCTTATTTTGAGTTTCAGCACTTCTATCCAAACAGATGTACTTATCCATAAATTCAGCTCCAACACCAAAAAAAGTGTTTTTTTAGCACTTGAGGCGTAAAACCTACTTAAATTCTGCACTCCAATCACAAATTGTATAAGAAATTCTAGCTTACGAAATTTAAAGAAAGGTTTCCTGGTAGTCACAGAGTTGATAAAATTGATTATTAAAGTAGTTTTTATAACTGAGAAGTCTACTCTCTGGTTTCAAAGCTCGGGGGCTGATTGGTCCAACCGTCTACCTTTGTCCATTTAAATACCAGATATCTGGTCCACAACTCAGCGTCCAACATTGTGTTACTATTGTTTTGGGGACAAAATTGATTATTAATGTTGTCGCAATAACAAATATCAAAACACAGCAAAATATTGCAATAGACCTTAAATGTTTGCTCAAATTATTCTGGCACAAACCTAGTATACACAACTCCTCATATGCAGCCCATAGCAATGGATCCAATAACAATGCCTGATTGAAATGCTGGATGGAACTATTTCTTCTATCTGTATACCTGAAATAACTATCAAGTTCATGAGTACCTTGGAGGAGTGCAATCCAGGCTTTTTACAATAGAAGATCATCACTATCGCAACTCTTCTTAAGCTCCATCAATTGTTGATTAACAAAAGGTTAAGGCAAAAAAGAAACAGAAAAATATACCAAACCTTAGGGAATATCTCCAGAGATATCAACAACATAACATCCACAAAAAAATTGAGGCCAAGCTTCTTAAGGTTTTTTAAAGGAAAAGGTGAAAAGGAATTATCATCTTAAAAAGAGGTGGTTATGAGGTCTGCGACGCTCTTAGATGGTCTGAGATGCATATCTGCTACACTGATGTATCCAACAAAAAATGTGGTTATAACTTATAAGGCAGTAGAGATTATTCTCCTACAAAGATCAAGGGCATCAGAATGTCAATGTCCAGTTTGGTTTTTTTGGCGAAACATGAATGCATTGTGGTGAAAAAACATGCTCCTCAACTATAATGACCAAGTCCCAAACACTGAAATTTAAACAAAAAAGACTGGCCAAATACATAGATAGGGGAGCCCCTTTAACATGACACCTTTTGTAAGATAGCCTTATAAACTTACAGAATGATTAGACACTTGAACTTGTTCCAAATGTATCGTTTGAATACAAGTATATTTTTCCCTTCTTCCTTTTTCCAAAAATTATCTGGAAAAAACTCCTAACATTTCAACCCATCTCTTTCTCATTCCAGCAAGCATCTGAATGAAACAAATTACATAGTTCCATTTAAATGAAGGAAGAAAGGTTGTGTCCAATTACTGTGATGAAGATGTTCCGCCGGCGAACAAACTATTTTACACAAAGGTCCAACATAAAGTGTTGATTGATACTGATAGCATGATTATAGGAGTAGAATGATTTGGTATTGAATGTAATTGATTGTAATTGCCTAGGAATTGATTATGTGATATTGTCTTTCCTAATTTAGTCTTAGGACTCATTGTATAAGTACTCATTCTCATTGATTGTATATTCACGAAGAAATACAAAGAAGCTTTTTCTTCTTCTTGAAATCTTCATGATGAGGTGAGTCATCTACCTCGCATCACTGGGGTTCCGTTTTTTTATCAAAGTGGTCGAATTTTCTCACTTTGGTTGGTTGTCCGCAACACAATCTCCACCTGGTCAGTTCCTTTTGGAATTTTTTTCGTTGAGGTCGCTAAAACATTTTGAGCCTACAACTATATTAGTTTTTAATTTTATTCGATCATCGGAATTAGGCTTCCGGTGCAACACTAGCTTTCAAGCTAGACCAATTAGTAATTGGTTCACTTTACATTTCATTGCCAAGTGAATCTCATGCACTTGGTCTTAAAAATACAAGTGTTCGCAGGACACGCTTCAGTCAAGTAAAAGTGTCTAGATGGTTACTAGAGAAGCTTAAAATGTCTATCTTCCAAAAAGTGCAAATTTTAAGGTGCTATCTAAGTATTTAGCCAAAAAGATATTCAAGAAAAAATAATGAAAGAATCTTATTAATTCATATAACCCATTCTGCACATTAATGAAATGTTTATTTTCACATAAGAATAGAAGAATCAATATCTTTTAAGTTAATAAAGTTTGGCATTGTTCAAATACTTGATGGTGCAGTTTCCATAAAATTATGTACTTAAAAGAAAAAGGAAATGATGTTGAGTCTATGCTACCATTCTTCTCCATCATACTACACTTCAATACGAGAATAATTTTCACATTAGAATAGAAGAATCAAGTTTTTAAGTTAATAAAGGTTGGCCATAGTTCAAACATCTAATGATGCAGCGTCTATACTATTCTTTACTTTACTTACAGTAAAAGGAATAGATGACAGTACTATCCCATTACATTCTCCTCCATCATATAAAATAGCAAGTAGAGGATAGTGACTTTTATCAGCACGAAGTACCTTTCATGTGCACTAACAATTTGATGATGATATAGTGAACACAACCAAAATTCATTGTCATAGTGAAGTATTAGCTTCATTATTCAGATAGATCAAACCAATTTCAGAATTAAGAAGCAAGGCTAGAAGTTAATCCTTCTCTTAAATAAATAATATATAAAATATGAACCTGTAAATAAGACCAAGAAGGTAATGCCCAGCTGCACCATTTGGAACCTACACAACAACCAATTAGCTATAAATTAAAGAAGCATGTCAATGGCTAACAGGAATAAAATAACTGGAGATGACAATACTATAAAATCTGCAAAGTGGATAGATATTTGGAAGGATGGTTTTTACGACTCTACCTCTGCAGTTGGCTCATTAGGAGGGCAAAGTGCTGTCTCAGCTTCAGTGAGAAGATCCATCTGAAAGCATGATAGTGCAAACAAGTAGCGGGATTGAGCCATACTTGTCCCTTCATATAAAAATTTAAAAAGGGATGATTATGAGCATAATCTCAAGGACAAGTGTTATCAGAAATCGGAAGATAATAGGGAGGAAAAAAAAAGATATTGCAACACAAAATGCAGTCATATTGACTGAGAATACAACACGCACCCTTGAGAAGATGATATGCAGCATAAGCCTGTTGGTTGTGCAGGTAGCAGCCAGCTAAAAGCTGCATATTTGTCTGCAATGGACATAGTACATTATAGGAAACAAGAGAATTGACCAACTTAAGAGATTTCAACAAAAATGCATTAAACCCTCACATTCTTGAGTCAAATTCCACTAAGGGCAACAAGAAACAAAAAGTGAACTCCAAGAACCTAAAATCTCTATAAACGACAAATTGAGTAATACATATGTTTACAAAGAATGATGAAGTGAAAACAAAAAAGTGTGGAGTACCTCAGTGGGGAACTCGGCACAGAGTCGTTCACACATGAAAATGGCGTTGTGGTACATAAATTGGCCAAGGCTGTTTTGCACAGATTCAGCTAGTAGGGTTTCCATTGATGCTTGAACTCGAATTCAAAGAGAGACGAGGTTAGAGAGGGAGAGAGAGAGAGAGAGATTCAATTTTTCAATTTCAATTTGAGAGAAGTTGCCATTATTAAGTTAGTGGATTTCTCTTGATTTCAACTCACAAAAAGTGATAAAAGAAACAGATTTTCAGAGGCCAGTGATTGCTCTTATATGTTAGTACTAAAATTAAAAATTCTGAGGACCAGATTACCCTTGCTTCTAATTGTCCCAACTCCTTTTACTTCGGGGGATTTCAGTATTTTAAACTCTTTGTACTCCCTCCAAATTTAGATTTATAACTATGCATAATCAGATAAAAATTTACAATTTGGGGTAGGTAAAATTCGGGTAGAGATTATAAGATGGAATCGAATTTACTAATAATGTGAAAATTTAGGTCAAATATATTTCCATCGTAAAGATGAGCTATGGGATTAATTGAGTGGGTAGATTTTGGGTACAAATGGATTTTAATTATTTTTTAAAGAAAAAAAATTAGAGAAATGTGATGATTTTTATTGGTTTCAATCAAGTATTCGATATTCATATTGAGAGTAGAGCTGTCAAAAAGGGTCATCCCAGCCCCACCGGGCCCAAGCCTCGAGTGCCAAGGAATTTGAAGGGCTAGGGCGGGCTAGCCCTTCTGTTTCTCTTTTTAATTTTTTTTTCTTTTCAAACTTATAATTCTATAACATCAAAAAATGAAAAGATTTTCAAATCAAATATGACAAACAATGATGTTGTTTTCAATAATACTAACAAAAATCCAGTGTAATTAGCATGTATCTCGCATACTGGATATGCGAGTGAGATAAGAGAGTGACAAGCAAGATAGGAGGGAGCCGAGGGCGCAAGATTTGTATATGTATCCTAGATACATGCAAATCTACTTGGATAGAGTGTATCTAGAACAAATTAACCCAATTTTGAGTCCATATATTTCGAGATACTATCTAGGTACGAAGATTTATAATATTACAACATAGCGTGTATTCAAATAATTAGATTATATATTAGTGAGATTATTGTAAATTACTCTTAAATAAAACTTTTTGGCCCATGGGCCGACCCCGTCCCAGCCCCGATCAAGCCTCAAGGGCCAAGGGTTTATATGGGTCGAACTTATAAGCCCTAGTTTTAAATGGGCTTGAAAAATCTTATCTCAACCCTACCCCAATAACGGTTAGGGTTGGGCCGGCCCTATGGGCTAAACCCATTTTGACGGCTCTAATTGACAGTAATTAATTAAATTTAGATTTTCTTCGGCTAGATAGTTTTGCATTTTTTTGGTTGGGTAAAATGTTCACTAGTAAACATGACTTTACAGCCCTATTAGGTTTCATGGCTAAAAGATACTTATTACTCCACTACAATTTTTATAGATTAGATGCTAGATGTATGATATCACTCGCATAATAATATAGTGATTTGAATTTCGAGAGTCAAATAATATATATTTTTTAATGGTAATATTTAGTGCATATTTTCTCCTAGACTATAATAGAGCTATATGCTAATTAGGTCTAAAATTTAGAAAGCATAATGTCATACATATTTTTACATTCAATCCACGTAATGAAGACCACGTGTCATTTTGATGAATATATGCCAAATGACAGTGGGAGCACCTTTATCCATAACCTTATCATTTTTTCCTCTTTCGAATCTAAGCCATTTTCGACATGAGCCTAAATAATCAAATGCATGATAATGTCGTTGTCGACATTTAATAAGTAATTTTGATTATATATTGTGAAGTTAAAAATTGAAATATAAAAGTTATGTTTTTAATATTTAATGTGTTTGAAAGATACATTTTAGTTTTAAAAATATTTGATTTTTTGTGAGGAAAAATCAAATGTAATTTCTCCAATCAACTATCTGAACCAGTTTTTGAAAATTTGAATTATTATTTTTAAAGATAAATTCTTAAAATTTGATTCAAAATTTTTAGTCCAATAAATTTTTAAAATCTAATTCAATATATATCCGCCTAATTCTCTCGTGAGATCACATGATTCACATATGTAGTAGATATACCTTTAATTGTTTAACTTGTAAAAATTGTGACAAACTAAAATCATCTTAAGTACTCTAATTTATATTCATCCTTTTTAATCAAATGGTCCCTTAGGTTTGGAGTAATTTTGTTGTACAAATTAAGCACTTCTAGATCAACTGACAATACTCGATCTAAAATGGCTCACTTAAAAGAAGTAACAAGAAATTAGAAATCATGGATGAATTCACTACTAAAAAACTGTGACTACCGACCTATAAATACCGACCTCCGGAGGTCGGTATTCCTTGAAATACCGACCTAAAACCGACATCCCAGCTTAGGTCGGAAAAAGCTTGGTCGCTATTCAATACCGGCCTCTGGAAGTCGGTATTTACTGACCTCTCGAGGTCGATTTTTATTTTATGTCGGAATATTCATTTTTTTAAATTCCGACCACTGGAGGTCGGTATTTTTATTTTTGTAATGTTGAAATTCCGACCTCCGGAGGTCGGTATTTTTATTTTTGTATTTTTGAAATTCCGACCTCCGGAGGTTGGTATTTTTATTTTTGTAATGTTGAAATTCCGACCTCCGGAGGTCGGTATTTTATTTTTGTAATGTTGAAATTCCGACCTCCGGAGGTCGGTATTTTATTTTTGTAATGTTGAAATTCCGACCTCCGGAGGTCGGTATTTTTATTTTTGTATTTTTGAAATTCCGACCTCCGGAGGTCGGTATTTTTATTTTTGTAATGTTGAAATTCCGACCTCCGAAGGTCCGTATTTTTAATTTTTATTTTTTAAATTCCGACCTCCGGAGGTCGGTATTTTTATTTTTGTAATGTTGAAATTCGACCTCCGGAGGTCAGTATTTTTATTTTTGTATTTTTGAAATTCCGACCTCCGGAGGTCGGTATTTTTATTTTTGTAATGTTGAAATTCCGACCTCCGGAGGTCGATATTTTTATTTTTTATTTTTTAAATTCCGACCTCCGGAGGTCGGTTTTTTGCTGCAAAACAGGCAGCAAATTGCTGCAATTTTTAGTTGTCCACCTGCATATTTATACCAAAACAACCCAAAGCCAAATAAGCTTCATCCAACCAAAACAAACCAAAGCCAAATAAAATTCATCCAACCAAAACAACCAAAGCCAAATAAACTTCATCCAACCAAAACAACACAATATTTTCAACATATACAAACTATTTCAAAATAAACTTCATCCAACTTCAAAATAAACTACAATACGATCAAATTAAACAATTCTAAAAATATAGAAGTCTAAAATGTCAAATAGATACAACTACTCTTCATCACCCTCACTCTCCTTATCATTCTCATCAACAAAACCACATTATTTAATTTAACTTATTTAAACAACTTAACAACTTTATAACTTTAACAACTTTTTAAAGCTAAGTGTCAACACTAGATGAACACAAATCGATCTTCCAAGAAAATCAATTTTGTCATCTATAGGATCAACTAGTGTTGATACTTATGCTTAACAAACACATTATTCCTAAATTAAAGCTTAATAGCAACACTAGATGGACACAAATCGATCTTGCAAGAAAATCAATTTTGTCATCAATAGGATCAACTAGTGTTGATATTTATGCTTAACAAATTTATTATTTCTAAATTTAAAGCTAAGTGTCAACACTAGATGGACACAAATCGATCTTGCAAGAAAATCAATTTTGTCATCAATAGGATCAACTAGTGTTGGTACTTATGCTTACCAAATATATTATTTCTAAATTTAAAGCTAAGTATCAATGCTACATGGACACAAACACATTATTGAAAACAATTGTACTTGAACTTTAGAAATTTAGAAGCACCAACCTTATCTCCTACTTTGATGAAAGAAGCAATATAGTCTTATATCAACTTTTTTAGATGTTGAGCTTCCTCAATTGCCTAGCACGAAAAGTTCTAAAATTAGTTATATATAAACTTCAAATCCAAGAATATTAGTTATATATATATATATATATATATATATATTCAAGTTTTAATAAGTTCAAGTTTTCAATTCAAGTTCATATTATTCAAATTCTAAGTTCAAGTTCAAGTTCAAGTTCAAGTTCAAGCTCTAAGTTCAAGTTCAAGTTCTAAGTTCAAGTTCAAGTTCTAAGTTCTAAGTTCTAGTTGAAGTTCAAGTTCAAGATCAAGTTCTAAGTTCAAGTTCAAGTTCTAGTTCTAAGTTCAAGTTCAAGTTCAAGTTCTAAGTTCAAGTTCAAGTTCTAAATTCATGTTCAAGTTCTAATTTCAAGTTCAAGTTCTAAGTTCAAGTTCAAGTTCAAGTTCTAAGTTCTAATTTCAAGTTCAAGATCAAGTTCTAAGTCCAAGTTCAAGTTCTAAGTTCAAATTCTAAGTTAAACTTCAAATTCTAAGTTCTAATTTCAAGTTCAAGATCAAGTTCTAATTTCAAGTTCAAGATCAAGTTCTAAGTTCAAGTTCAAGTTCTAAGTTCAAGTTCTAAGTTCAAATTCTAAGTTTAACTTCAAGTTCAAGTTCAAGTTCAAGTTCTAAGTTCAAGTTCAAATTCTAAGTTCAAATTCTAAGTTCAAGTTTAAGTTCAAGTTCAAGTTCTAAATTCATGTTCAAGTTCTAATTTCAAGTTCAAGTTCTAAGTTCAAGTTCAAATTCTAAGTTCAAATTCTAAGTTCAAGTTCAAGTTCAAGTTCAAGTTCTAAATTCATGTTCAAGTTCTAATTTCAAGTTCAAGTTCTAAGTTCAAGTTCAAGTTCTAAGTTCTAATTTCAAGTTCAAGATCAAGTTCTAAGTCCAAGTTCAAGTTCTAAGTTCAAATTCTAAGTTTAACTTCAAATTCTAAGTTCTAATTTCAAGTTCAAGATCAAGTTCTAAGTCCAAGTTCAAGTTCTAAGTTCAAATTCTAAGTTTAACTTCAAATTCTAAGTTCTAATTTCAAGTTCAAGATCAAGTTCTAAGTCCAAGTTCAAGTTCTAAGTTCAAATTCTAAGTTTAACTTCAAATTCTAAGTTCTAATTTCAAGTTCAAGATCAAATTCTAAGTC